TTGATGCCGATATTTGTTATGTATTTGGTTACCCTGAAAAGTACTGTTCAGTAAACATTTTATGACTAAATATGAAACAGTTGTAAGAAACATACAGATTTTATGTTTCACATATAATTCTTATAACACGTTTATGAGAGAAGCAGAGAAACGATTATCCTGCTTTGAGAGCAAAAAATTTGAGAGGCATTAGCGAACTATGCTCTGAATGAATTATTTAAAAATAACTTTAATTACGTTATTGTTTTAGTGTTTATGTGACTATTGTCAGATGTTTTAATGTGGCTTAATACAGTTTAAAGTTTCCGATTCTTGTTTTGTTCCCCTGAAATTGTTGTTAGATTCGGCATTGCCTAGTGACACCACATGGCAGCGTTTTCATGGAGATGGGTTTTTTCTTTCCGTATTCATATTCTTCCAGAATTTAAATACCTTGACCAATAATTTCAGAACCTGTGATCCTTAAGAAGATTATAACATCTTCTGAATGGTTGAACTACCTTGGGGAAATAGTCTCTATAATTCTTTTTGATCACAGGGCGTCTTTTCCAGTTGCCCTGGAAAAGATTTCATTAATATGTAAATACTTGCCTGAAACTGCAGTGAATCTCTTTATCACACTATATTTAATTAACATATAAATAACCCAGCGAGACACTTTTCCCAATTCTGATATGGGCAGGCCTGTGTAAATATTGTATTCGTAATAAGTAAAATGCTATTAAGAATCAAACTCATATTTTGTCCACAAAGCATATACATTATTTTAAGAAATGTTTTGACCTCAGTGTGTACCCATTTTTTTATCCTAAAAGTTTACATCATACACATACACACACAAACACATACCAACTTGGGGGGGAAATCCATGATACAGATAAATGTCGGGATCACAGCACGATACTGACCTATATTTGATGTGTTGACATGATAGTGTGGTCCACTGGGAGGAGCAAGGGCTTTCATCAGAAACATGGGTATATGTCTTGGTCCTCACTACTCCTAGCTCTGCTGCTTTTGGGAGGTTACTTAGCTTCTCTGAACTTCAGTTTCTTGAAGTGTGAAATGGGGAGGTCATATTGGTTTGTGATGATAAACTAATCTAAGAGCTGTATCACCTGGCACAGTTCCTGGCACATAATCGTGTTCAGTATCCAGCAGGGTGCTGGATCAAACTCGTTAATGCACGAATGTCAGCCAGTCCCCAGTTTCTTGTATTTCACTGCCCATGAGCAGGCTTCTTGCTGGCATGAATAATGATGATGCTTTTTATGATGGTTTAGCACTTACTGTGTATCAGGTGCTGTTCAAAAGGCTCTGTATATGTTAACGAATTTGTCCCTCCCCGAATCCAAATGATGTTAAAACTGTCATTATCACTGTTTCACTAGTGAGGAATCGAGGCACAGGCACACTTGAGTCCTTTTACCAAGGGTGGGGTCAGAGGCCTAATGCAGAGGCCAGACTTCTAAGAGCATGCTCTTAATTATGATGGATTGGAATTCAAGAAAATGCTTGCTTATCTCGCCTTCAGTTTGGGCAGGTAATATTAGAGCATCACTGCTGAGACAGAGTAGCTGGGTCACAGTGGTGGGGAGAGGAATCCAGGCCCTCGGCGGGTGGCGTATTCACTACCGCCTCTCTACACATCGCTAACACCTGAGAATGCTGGTTAGGTCCGGGACGTCTTAGTAGACTCTGCTCTATTTTCTAAGTAACTTATTAATGGAATGGAGTTCCGTTGGTCCAGAGGAGAACTCTGAGTGATGTGTTTAGGTAGCTTTTCCATCTTGGCATTCGGAGCGATAACTAGCATTTTGATTGTTTCCCCGTTGAGTGTGACTTGTTCAGTGACGGTCACAATAGTGTAGGTCCAGATTATTATTATTTGTCCTTTATTTACCAGAACATTTTCTTCTATGCTGATAATAGGAATAAGTATAACTCTACATCTTAAAACCAGTGCCTGAAAGGTGCAATTAGTAGTAATACATTATTTAGCCTTTTGTTTCCAAGGCTTAGAATACGAATAAGAGAACTTTTGTACATTTACTCTTGATACAATTTGAAATAAAACATTTATATTTAGTGGGAGAAATAATTGGTGAGAGAATAGTTGAACACAACAGAACTTGTTGTACTCATTCCTTTCTTGCTGACAGATAAATGTTACCTTCAAATGAAACCAGCAAAGTTTATTGTTTGGAATAAAGCAATGAACAGGGTTCTAATATAAAGAGTCCTAAAATTAAGCAAAAGCCGTCATTATTTTGTAAAGAGATAATTTAAGTTTACTGTGTACTTTCCTTTCTTAATGCAGATGATGCATTTAAATTTTAAGACTTCCCAGGCAAAGTAGAAACAATGGGGAAAAAGATGAAATAAAAGATGTAAATGTTTTTTGCTTATAGAATTTTAGATTCAAAGTGTAAGTTTTGCAACTAACCAAACTTTCTGCAATTCTTTAGAACAGAGCAGTATGTTTTCTAGGTGTGTTTTTTTTGAACCATAATTTCACCTTACTCAACTAATGATTAATTTACATGACTAGTATTTGTGTTGTGAACAGAATGAATGAAAAAGGCTTTCTCTGCATTTTATTAAGCATTCTATCATTCTGCTCACCCTATGAAAGAATCAGGAGCTAAAATTGGTTTTTTTTTTTTTTTTAGAAGGCAATGATAGAACTCACCAATTATTTCAAAATGTAAAGTATGGTGAGATTTAGGGAAGTATGTATTCTGGGCTCTTTCTGCCCCCTGAAGTATAATGACATGTCCAACTGTCTCGATTGTATACCGTTACTGGTACAGCTCGCCCTTCCATCAGTTTGATCATCTAAATCAGGAAAGCATGCTTGTCCTTACTCTCAGACCTGCGGGTTCTGTGTAAATGTGCCTCCTTGACATGCATGCTACTTATGAGCAAACTGTCCCCTTTCGTTGCTCTATTCAGTTTTGAATTTTTGTGATACTCATGAGATCACTTTAAAGAAATCTGTTATGCTTTCAGTTAATTCAGTTAACACATATTGAGAGTCTGCTAAGTGCCAGGTACTGTTGTGCTGAGGATGTGGCAATAGACAAAAATTCTGCCCTCAAGGGATTTATATTCTGGCTGGGGATGAGGTCCTGTTTGTTTCTCAACAGGATCTGCAGCAAGATAAAGAACACATGGTGTTTTTATAGCAAGCATTTTAAACTACTAAAGTTGGTTCAAAAGAATCTGCTTTATAGACATCCAGTAAGAAAATGAAAGAACAGAGAGGTCTTTTGTTTTTTCATAACCATTGATGATCAAAGCTAAAGTCAAGACATGTTTGATAGAAGTTAGTTTCATTGGACTAATCACCCACCTCCTGGTGTTGAGATTGGTTTTATATCTTAGTTTAAATGTATCCTTTAAATATACTTGCAAACGGTCCTTAGTGGCTTGTTTGTATTAAGTTTTGGGAAGGCTCACATTGCCCTGTCTGCTGCTCACAACACTAACCTGGTGGCTCCCGTGTATGAAGCGGAGGAGTGCTGGGAATGAGGATGGGTCTGTGTTTGGGGCTAGATTGCAGTCCCTGTGTCCTTTCTGGAGCAGGATTGGGTGCTGGCTAAAGGTGCAAGCTCTGCATCTGGCTCTCTGATGGCGTTTAAAGCCCAGCCCTGCCATTTACTGGCTTTCTGAGGAGGGGCTAGTTTCCCTACGCCTCAGGTTTTCTCACTATGATACCAGGAACGTAATACTCTCCCCTCCATCAGGTTAGTAGAACTGAGTGAGGTCTTACATGTTAAAAGCATTTTATCGTGTGTGGCTCGTAGTGAGAGATCAGTACTTGTTAAAGGTTATTATTGGTGCTGGTCATGACTGATGCAATGCTAGTACTATTACCTGCAGCGATCAGCGCATTTAGAAACATTGAGCTGTGCTGTGCTTGAAAATGTAGCAAGGACACTTTATTTTAGCCTAGACTCCCAGGCCTGCCTTCCGACGGGGCCTCTGGGCGGAACTGGCTTTAATCTGATAAAAATGGGTGCGCTTGTTTCCCTTGCCTCCTGGTTCGCAGCACATTGCTCCACGGTGTTGCCGTACTGTTTTCCCTCGCTTTCCCTTTTTAATTAATACTTTGTTTCTCGGTCTGTACATTATTTTTTATTTATTAATTTATTTGAAGAGCTTCTCCTTTTTATTGCATTTATAGGGGTGACGTTGGTTAAAGGAGTTACACAGGTTCCAGGGGCACAACTCTGCAGCACATCACTTGCTGTGTGTTCATTATCCAGTCAGGCCCTGCCTGTTTTACATTCTCCTGTTAGCGTTTAGGGGTATTTTCAACCTGCAGAATCATTTCTTTACTCTTGCCATTTCCTGTCCTTTGTGTCTATGCTGTCTAATATGGTAGCCCTTAGTCATATGTGGCTATTAAAATTTAATTGAAATTAATTAAAATGAAAGTTCTCTTTCTTAGTATCAGTAACCACGTTTGAAGTGCTTTATACGTAGCTAGTGGTTACTTCTTATGATCATAGGAAGTTAGGTTGTAAGCTTTTTGAGGGCAAAGGACCATTTATGTTGGTATTAAGAACGTAAACCATGGGCTCTTGATAAACGTTTTGGTGTGTGAATGAACACATACCCATACCGTCCTTCCATGTCAAATGTTTTTTTAAAAATTTTATTTGTTTATTTTATTTTACTTTTTAATTGTTGACAACATTACAGATGTCCCCCATTTCCCCCCTATTTGCCAGCCCTCACCCCTGGCCTTCACCACATTGTTGTCCGTGTCCTTGCCACATGTTTTTGTTTTGAATTCTCCTTTTCTTTTTGAACCATTTCATGTTGGAAGAGAGATCTGTAACTTGTTATTTTCTGTTTACATAGGGCCTCCGGTATGTGTCATGTAGCACTTATACCGCACACGGGAATCCTGGAGCTGCTGCGTGTGTAGCCAGGCCTTGAGGTGACGGGTGTTTTAAATGCTTATGTTTTTGTTTTCTTTCTAATTAAAGTTATAACGGTGACTCCTTGATGATTCTTCCTTGGCATGAACGTAAACACCGAGATGAAGATTGGTGCGAGGAGGCAGAGTGCAGGTAAGAAGGAGCCGCACAAGGGAGCTCCTTTCACTGTGGGCCGGGTGAAGAGACAGCCCTGTGAACGGGGAACGTGATGTATGCCACTCGCTGGATGGCGGTTCTTGATTTACAGAGTTTCAGTGAACTTTTAAAAAAAAACCTGACTTTCCTCAGTTAAAATTATTTTAATGGAAAAATGTTAAATGCCACAAAGGAATTATTCTAAAAATGATCCTTACACAACTCTTTTTCATGGCGAGGTATTTGCTTTCATTCTTTGACCTATACAGATATGTTTTCATATTTGTTTTTATGGTATGTATGCAGTTTTGTTCTTGATTCAGTTTTGTTTTTTGATTTTTGTAAGATTTAGTCCTGGAAAGCCTCAGAATATGGAGGTCTCAGGCACTGCAGAAGCGGGGAGGCGGGGTGGGGCTGAAAGGCCACATGGGGGCACTTGACCCCCTTATCCTACTCCTCAAAGTCAGGCAGGTACTTCATTGCCAGCTCCCCTTCATGGTTTCCCGATGGAAGCTCAGGAGTGTCGTTTTGGACTTCTGAACTGAGCCCAGGAACCCCCATCTCTGGACACTGGGCATAGAGTGAGGGTGGAGCCATGGGGCTGCAAATCCAGGCACTTAGTGAAAATTTATATGCTAAATGTTGACTCTCTGTCTAAAAAACTTATCTCAAAAAAGCAAAGCTTATTTTAGAAACAGCAAGAACCAAAACCCATAGTCCTTTGCCCCTCCTTTGTATTCTGCTCACCAGGAGCAGTTACTTCAGTCCCTGTAGATGACAAATTTGGCACTTCCTGCATGTCTCTGAGTAACATAATTGTACAGCTGTTCCTGGATCTCTTAGTACTGGCTATTATCTGTGGACACCCGAGGATGAAAAATTATGGGTTAGTCTAGTTTTACTCCACGCACCCTGCTCTTCCTTGACTGTTTGCAACCTCGCCCCACCCCCGACTCCCTTTGAACCTTGTTTGCTGTCATTTCAGTGAATTTCAGGAGAAGGTGGAGCTCAGTGCAGGGTATTGATCAGCCACATTTGATAGTCTTTACTTACCGATTGTAGTGAGAGTTAACAGGACAGATGAATGGAAAACGGTGGGGGTTGATGCCGGTGGCCGTGGCTGTAGGGAAAGGTGTGGTGTCACTGTGGCCCAGGTTCTCTTAACGTGAGATGGGCCTTAGACGGAGCAGCACTGGCTGAGCACCTTCCCCAGTCACCTGGTACTTCCCAGTCCCCTGAGCTTGTGCCTTTTAGCATCTGACAAGTAGATGACAAGCATGAGAGTATTTCTCAGACCAGGCATGGCAAGCTAAAGTGTGGGTAAAACTTGCTGTGCTGGGACTCCTGAAACTATAAAATGAAAAGCCAGGGAAAATGTGACAGAGGGAAGATGCTTTTGAAGATGATACAGAATTTCAGTAGGACAGGCCACCTCTTGTGGCCTAGTCATTTAGTGAGTGTCTGTCCTCTGGTAGACTCAAGACTACCCAAGGGGAAAGCCAGGTGCAGTCCTGACTCACACAGCTGTAACCAGGAGGAAGGATGCTGCGGCACCCGTGTCAGGAGTGCTGTTCAGGGAAGGCTGGGGCATGGGGACATGGGAGCATGGGACAGGGACACCTGGGGATGGGGATACCCGGGATGGGGACACCTGCACCTGGTGGGGGCAGGGAAGACTTTCCTGGGGGAGCTGAGATTTGAAGGATAAATAGACTTTAGCTTGGCGGAGGAGAGTCTGGCTGGTGGATGGGGCGTGTTCTAGCAGAGGGAGGAGCATGTTGGGAGGCTGAGGAAGAGCCTCCTTCAAGGATTGAAAGTAAGATGCCTTGTTGAAGAGGAAAGAATCACAGTGAGACTCGCACCAGATGTGGCTAGAGTATTTTAGGACAGATTACAAGCTGTAAAAGTAGGCGTGGGATGATATACTCAGGCTTCTGTTCTTAAAGGGAAGGTTTCTGAGTGAGCGATGGGACTCTTCCCACTCTGGGAAACCATTGGTCAGAGTGTGAATGGCAGGTGTGAGACCAGGGGAGTAGAGGGCTACCAACCATGAGCATAAGAGGCTGTCTGAGCCATGTGGATAAGATGCCTAGGTATCCGTGGGCTTTGTGTCTGGTCAAATATTACAGCTACTAATTCCAATAAAAAATAATACCTATAAATAAAAATCAGGCATCAGCCCTAGGCCAGCCAGTGTGCCCTCTGGACGTCATTGGTATTATGTTAGGTACTCCTGCCTGGCATTATTCCCATTTTTCATGTGAAAAAAGCGAGCCTCTGCCTACTTTTCCCTCATGAATTCAGATAAGGCATTGCAGCTTTAGCAATGGGATGTGCTTCAGCGTCCATTGCAACTCCAAGCCCATTGCCTTGTAATAGTGACAGTTCCAGCGTGTCATTTATTGACAGTGGGTTTTAGATGAGTGCGTGTCTCTAATGGAATGCAGTGTTTTCCACATATCTCTCTGAAATGTCTTAGTTTAGATTAATGTTTTTCTTTTTTAGTCCTGACCATGGAAGGCCAGGATCTCCTCATAAAACTCGTGATTTGTGATTTCTGTGATGTTACTTCGGTGTACATTCCTCTAGCTGTGTCTCTTTCCCTCCTATGGCCAGTGGTGTAGAGCCACTCATATTTTGCAAATGCCAATGTAGTGGTATGTGGCTGACACCCACCAAAGGTATATCATCACCATAAGTAAGGAATATTTCCTTTTATTTTTATGAACATGGAAAACAAGGGTTTCTTAACTTATATTTGCATCGAAATCACCCGGGGGTGTTTTTCCAAAATGCAGTGGCCGGCCTTTGATGTGACTGATGCAGGAGGCCGAGGGCAGGCGCCCGGCCATGAGCATTTCGTGAAAGCATCCCTGGGCGACTTTCATTTTGCTAATACTTGTTTGACTGATTTGTGGCAGAGTTGTTTTGATTTATTGTCCATTCCAGTTTTTTTAAGTTGGGAAAACTGCTAGGAAAATAAATTAAGCATCCCCAAAATGTCCCATTTATCTCTCTCTCTCTCTCTCTTCTTGGGCCTGTAACCGAGCCCACCCCCAAAATGATCATTTCCCCAGCATCTCAATTGGTTATTAATGGTTCCTTTGTACTTTACAGACTGGTGGTTGAGCCGAGCCCCCAAGATGAAAGTGAATTCTTGTATGCGGCACAGCCGGAGCTGCTGAGGTTCAGGACCACCCAGCTGGCAGTGGAGAAGGCGATGGACTGGTATCAGACCCGAGCGGAGGAGATAGAGCGTCACGCTGGACAGGTGAGGGGAGGCCACAGCTGCTGCTTAGGTGCTGCCTCGGGCCCTGAGGGCTCAGTGCAAGGAGTGGCTGCTGACCGTGGTGCCAGGGTCGTGTGTGTAGTTTGCAAGGGATGAATGAGTATTCCATGCTACTTTGTTCACTTACCCTTTGTCTAAAAAGTTTTTGTGGCTTTTAAAAAATTATTAAAGAGCAAACACATGCAAGAAAAGTTATTCAAAATATAAGCTGTAAAATATGGTACATACTGTTTGATATTCTCCATATATTTTTATTAGGTTTAGTACCATATTAATTTAAAAGGTTGTGTTAGCCTAGAAATGCTTGCTCGGTCCCCTGTCGTACTGCGGTAATGCAGTGAGTCCCTGTGTTGATTCTCAGGAATCTTGTTTGAGGCTCTGCCCTAATGTTTTCCTCAAGTCCACGCCTACTTTCCTGAAGTCCCCATGAGCCTTCTTACCGAGATGCATAGCAGCTGCGTTAGCGAAGGGTGTGGACAGGAGAGAGAGGAGGACTGCGCAGAGTGTAAGATGTGTAGCTACTAATCTCGACTCTTCCACCAGGGCACCTATGACTGTACCTGCTTCCTGCCTTTTTCAGTACAGTACTTGGTTTTTTTCATGGGTTAGTTCTTATACCAGAGCCAATGAGAAAGAAAATACACAGGAGGGAACGTTGCAGATTCTGCTGACTGAGTGCTCTGCAAATGTAAGCAACGGTTGTCTCCATCTCAGAGGACAGAGGTTGCGATGCTGAGCAAAGAGCGGCAGGTGCACTTAGAAATCTCACTCCGGGTCTGGCCAGTGGGTGACTTCTTCCTTCCACTCGCAGCCTTGGCCTTGGACCATCTACCCTCTGTCAGCTTTTCACCTGATGGGAAGGGTGATGTCAGAGAGTCTGGGGAGGAATATGTACCCCTTTGTTTAAATTTCTCCGTAGTGTATCTGGCATGGCCCTGTGTCTCCATTTGATAGCTTAAATTTCTGCTTAATCTGATTTCTAGATTTAGTATTTATAGAATTGAAGATGAATTATTTGCTGGAGCTGATGGGAATATTATAGATCAAATTTTGGGGGGATGGCCAAGAATATGTATGATTGACTTTCTAAGTTTTTGAAGATGGCTGAGGACCATAGTAGAAAATGTTTAGGCTTTCAAGCTTTCATGATGAAGAGACTCTCTGGAGGTGATCTAGTCTGATTTTCTGTGTTGTAGGAGATACACTAAGTCCACACACAGGAAAGTGAGCAGCTTGCTCAGGGGTGTACAGTGAAGAGCCAGGGTCCAGGTCTCTGTGTAACATTTCTTACAGAGCCCACATAAAAATGAAGTTACACAGCCTTAATGGTCTAGAGCAAGATAAATTAACCTAAAAATGTGGTCTCAGCTCCACAGTAGCAAATATTTTTTAATACTTATTATCCTGATGAGAAAATCATAGCCATATCTTATTAGTAGAAAATTTCCAAAAAATTAATGTAATGACTTAAGGGCAATATATAGAAGATAAATAAAATCCATAAATATTGGGCTGTGACTGTACTGGGAAGTGAAGTCAGCGAGAAGTCACTTTGAGTGAGAGCTGAAGCCTCAGATTCGGGCGTGTGGTATTGTTTGAGTTAATACCACAAATTGCTCTATGGGATGTGAACAGCTCATGGTGAACTTTTAACAAAACAAAGTAAAATTCTTCCCCGATTATGTAGTAGCTGCATTCTGGGATATTCTGTGTAACTTAAACCACACAGAAAAGACTTCTGTGTAAATATTAAATTAAGTTGAGGTCTAGACTCTGGTCATTGTAAGTAGATTTTTCAGGACATCTGAAAGTAGGCAGGACTCAGGGCGAGGGGGTTGTGTGGGCTGCCCTGCACGTTGCTGGACCTCTCGCATTCCCGGCTTCCACCCACTTCACATCAGTGGTCCCACTGATTCTTGTGATGGACAGAGGTGCCTCCTCAGGGCTTCTGCGTGCCCCCAGGTGGACTGTTCTCCTTCCCTGGGGGGTGCTTTGTTTAGCTGCCTTCTTTCTTCTCATTTATTTAAAAGCACTTTGAATAGAGGTATTGTTCTTTTTTTTAAATATTTTTTAAAATTTTTGTTTAAAATATTACAGATGTCCCTTTTTCTCCCCAAGGACCCATTCCACCCTGTCCCTCGCCCTTCCCCAATTCTTCTCCCCACCATTGTCCGTGTCCTTGGGTTGTGCATATAAATTCTTTGGTTACTCTCTCCCCCTCCACCCACCCGCCCTCCTCCATCCCTCTGACATTTGTCAGTCTCATCTATGCTTCCATGTCATTGAATCTATTCTGTTCATCAGTTTATTAAGTTCTCTAGATTCCACGTTTAAGCGAGATCATGTGATGTTTGTCTTTCGCTGCCTGGCTTATTTCACTTAGCATAATATTCTCCAGGTCCATCCATGCTGTCCCAAAGGGTACGAGATCCTTCTTCTTT